GGCCAGGGCGGAAGGGGTCGGCGGGAGGAAGGGCCACACTTAAAGGGCCCGCGCGCCTCCGCCCAGCCCGAGCGAGACCGGAGCCCGAAGCGCTCGCAAGAGCGGGGAGACAAATGCACATCTGTACGGCCCTGCCTATGGCGTCATTGCTGTGACATGCATTATACTGACTATGCATCCAGTTATAACAAAACTAAAATTATTATATTGCAAATATATTGGTCACACACACACACAGAGCCCATCCATAGTAAACTTGGCCTAACTTTAGGAAGGGTGATGCATCGCTGAGAGGGTGGAGTGGTCAGTCCGGGCCTTGGAGTGCCCTCCCTTGCTCGGCCAGGCTGGCGAGGGCACGCGGGCACCATTCCCGTGCCCACACCGATGCGTTTACACACCCCACCCCCCCCCGGTGCATCCCCTGCCAACCAGGCTCACACGCCAAGTGACCCCCTGGTGCATGGCGCTGGCGTTTTGTGGTTTTTGAGAAAATCAGCCTTTTCCCTCTCATTTTGTGCCTAGCACAAGGCACTCCCGCACTGTGCCCCCGGTATGGCCACAGCTCTGGGTGCCGAGTCTCCCCGCCAGCTGCGCCGCCCCACGGACTCGCCGCTCACATTTGGCTCCGTCTGCGGCCAAGCCGGTGCCTGCGGAGCCGTTGGTGGAGCTGATGAGGTGTATTCCGCACTGGTATGTTTTCCTTGGCCCATCCTGACTCGTGGCTTATGTTTAAAAAACAAGCTCAGGATAAATCTTTAACAAGTTCCACATGGAAAGGTTTCCTGGGGTGGGGGGAAGAGGAGAAATATTTCCTCGTAGCCAGTTGCAGAAATTAACCACTTGCCCCAACGGCTAGCGTGAAGATCTCGTGCGAGGGACAGCCTTGGGGCTTTGCTCAGAAGCGCGAAGGGCTGCTGGACGCTTTCTGCCCTAAAGGAGATGGACAAATCACTTTTAAGTTAAATGAAAGCTGAGCGCAGTTGCCGGCTGTCCCCCTGCCTTCTCTCTTGCAATCCAGGTGCTGGAGGCGGGGAAGGTGGGAGGGGAGAGTATTTCCTCTCCAGCTCGTGCTATCACTAGGTTAGATACAACATCAGCCAACAAATGTCACACACCGGAGAGGAGGGAAGGCTCCCCAAGCATCAGCGTTAGTTTTGTAAGCAACAGCCACTGATCTTCCTCACTGCTCTCGCTTGCCCACACATCTTTGTGGAGCTGAGGGATTTCGGCAGGGCTGGAAGGGAGGTGGGAGAGTGGCCAGGCAGGCCTGGGGCTGAGCCCAGCTCCTCCAAGCAACCGGCCAGCACCCCATCTCCCAGCAGGTGTTACGATTTCCTTCCCTCCATCCCTCGGCCAGCTTGTCTCATGAGCAGATGATTTTGGGGCTCAGCCAGCTTACGTACTTTTCTGACCCAACAGACGATGGATTTAGTGTGCTGGAGAGGGCTCTGCAAGCGTGGGGACTAGATGAGACGTGCCAAAATGCCTGCCCTGAGCCACTTATAATCTCTCTGTGACTACTGAGGTTCAAAAGTTACAAATAATAGTCCCGCTTTGTCAAACAAATACAGGTTACTCAGGGTAACCTGCTCAAACCTGGAAAATACAACTGCTAAGGTGATCTGGAAACGCGGGGGAAACAACCAGACTTTGCCGACAGAGCTAAGTCTGTGTTGGCTTACTTGTTCTTAACTGTCATTTACTGCTTATTATTTTTCTAACTTTTAAAATATCAGGAAGAATTATTCATTGATCTCATGGAAAGAGACCAGGAAATGTAGATGGGAAATTGCGTCATCCTCCAGCTGAAAGATCCTTACAGAATCCTTATGAAAAGGTGGTTTTCTCCCAACTGTTGGGATGAAACAGCTGTTAATAAAATCAAGGAAAAAGCTTTTAATAGTCAGACTCAAAATCACTTCCCTTCTTGGATTTGTCTACACAAATTGTAAACATGGAAACACAGAAGTACTTGACTGCTGTCAATTAATGCCAAATAATTCAAGCTCGTTCGGGCATTAGTACAGGCTGAGCTGGACGTTTGCTTGCAGTCCTGTCCTGGAAGAAATTTGTGCAGTGCCCAGACTACCGTGCACAAACGTGCCCTATAACACAACGTAATGCGTCATCTGTCACCGAGATGTCAACAGCCCTGCATGGACAAATCTGCAGGTTTCTCTACTCTCTCTGATACTTACTGACCTCTTTTCTGTCTGCCCAGAAAGTCTTCCAGCGGTCCTAATGGAGAAAGAATTAAAGCCTTAGGACAAAACCTGCCAATTTAGAGTCTTCCAGGCCTTCATTATCGAGTGGAAAGGACAGAAGAAAGGCCCATTGCAGTTCTTTTTTTGCCTTCATAGGCACTTACACTGCCAATTTGCTTCCCGCCTTTTATGGGAAATTAAAACAGCTCAGGATTTTTTCCTGTCTGTCTATGGAAGATTCTGCAGGGATCAACTCTGCACTAGTTCACAGAAAGGTCCTTCATCTTCCTTCCTTCCAGGAACCTGACATCCAACTCTAGTCGTGCCTAAATAGGACCTGGATGGATCTTGACAAATTTGCTTCAAGCAGGACATGGAACAGCTCCCAGCCCATTTTTCTGGTGGTTTCTAGACCTAAGGCATGACATGGACATAACCGACCCCAGCACTGCAGCAGCACTGTTTGCCTGTAGCAGCAGGACCCTGGGTACCTGCTGCTGTTGTGGTCCCATGAAATGACCCTGCTTTCCCTCCCAGCAGCCTGCCTGCAATAAATCTATGCTGCAAAAGGATCAGTCCCTGCCAGAATATACTGCTTTAAATATGTGGTGTTCTTGAGCTATAGGGCTTTACAAGATTCCTTTTATCTTGGCCTAAAATTCAAACGGCAGACACGATATGTTTTACCAGGCCTGAACAGGGAAATGACAGGGAATTAGTGCCCATTCGCTGAGTGCAGCCCTGCCCCTTCAGGGACCTTCAAACCATTATATTTTACCTTAAAATATTATAATTGTTCTCACTTCAGCAAAAAATCTGCCTCTAGCAGAGTGGTGTCATTTCACTATTAGGTAGTGATAAATCCAACAAGGATTTATTACACTGAAAAAACACAACAGGAGGCTTTTCAAAATGATACCTGTCTGCTTGTTCCAGGCTTTCTCAGTGTGAGCATCCTCCGCTGATCTTTCCATTTACAACAGCTGAAGTTCAGCCCTGTGTCACTTCCCAGCAGCTTTTGCTGACTCCCTGGCCTTTCCTGAACCATTTCACTTCGCAGCAGCAGAGCTCAACTTTGCACCTCAGAACAGAGGTCCTTCCTGGTCCTCCAAGCACAATGCTCCCCACACTGCATTTTGTGTAAGCCAGGTTGGTTCAAACCGAAGTAGAGAGACGTGGTGGCACATGAGAAATCAGCAGATACATCATTTCAGGCCTGGTCGCCAAGTGAACTGAGGGATGCGCCTGCTCAGCAGCTTTCTTACTGCAGATGTTACTGCTTCCCAGTGGCCTCACCATGCTGAGGCTCAACTGATGCAAATTGTGGTCAGTACAAAGAACGTGGTAATTCTTTACAAGAAACAATTGTCTGTTTTGCAGGAAAGCTGGGCCAATTGCATGGGTGATGTCATCACTCCAAATAATTGGAATATTTTTGTTGTTAGCAGATAGACTGTGAGAGCTGCAAAGCTCCAACCAGCTGAAGTCTGCCTGAGAGATGAACAGTTCAGTCATTATGCACATTCAACCAACATAAGGGTCATAGGTCCCCTCGATTTCAGGAAGAAATCCTCCTACCCCCGACTTACGTCAGTGCAGAGGGCAACAGAACTGAGACATTTTCACTTAATTTCACTTATTTTCACTTAATCCAGAAAAGCAATGTGTCCATGATGCTGGGCACCAGATGGCATTCACATCTATGCAAGCTCCTTTGTGATAAAGAATCAAAACTTTAATGAAAGTCATGTCTGGGGCTTTCCAAAGAGAGTATAATCTAGAATAGGGCTCTCCTCTTTTGTCCCTGTGATTCCTGTAAGCTCTTGCTCAGTTCTGGAATTGCTGTTCTCTTCATCACTTTGGGTTTGTCCCTCTTTTTTCAGGCTCGCTTCAGAAGCGTCAGACACATATTCCTTGTGTCTTTCTTTGCTTCTCTTTAAGCAGCCTTCTAAATGCTGCAATAAAATCTATTATTTGGATTGCAGATCACTCAGCGATAGTCTGCTTTCCACCCTTGGGAAACTAATAACTTCATGTGCAGCTCACAGAAAACAGCTCCAGTCTCTTTGG